AAAAAAAAAAAAAAAAAAAAAAAAAATCCGCATTTAATCTGTGACTGACAGTTTGTAATTATGAGCAATTTCAAGCACACCACGAAGAGGATTGTTCGTATTCTGTTCGTAGGAAAGACAAACACGTCAAATTGCAGTCTATATATTAAGCAGACTCGCTTGAAGTTTGTTTACAAAGATGGAATCTTAAAATCGAGTAGAATTAAATTTAGCTATAAGCTTCTCTTAATTTCTTATTTGCAGCAACATAAATCGCTGTAAAACGCAGCACCTTAATTCAAGGATTAAAGAAAAACATCATGGATAATAACTGTTTTCTGATGACTAGTACTTGGTTTGGAGCTTTAAAGGTCCTTTCRCTGGAAAAAAGTTATACTGAGTTTTGGTGAACGGAAAACAAAAAATGAATAAATAAAATAGATTAGAAGCAAAACAAAAATAAATAAAAGAAATAAAATAAAATAATTAATGAACGAATAGGGTTTAACAAATGATTAAGACCGGGGATTAAGAGCTTCAAAGATCCTTTCACTAGATGTGAACTCCATTAGACCATGACTATTTCACATCCAGTGAAAGGACCTTTTTCGTAACTCAAAGGTTATAAGTTTTGGTGAACGCAAATTTTAACATGGATTAAAAGATGGACGAAAATGGTTTAGGTGTTGAGTATGAGCTTCATGCAACGATCCTTTCACTGGATGTGACTTTCACAAAAGCAAAACAAATTTATCCTAGTATGCCTAAACTGGAGAAAGAGTAGAGAATCCAGTCCACAGTCTACAATATAATCATCTGCTTTCTAAGCTGAATCAGGACAATTGTAGAAAAGGATTGGGCTCCATGTGGTATTGGACCTTCATCGCACCACTGTCAGCCTAATTAAATTGAATAGTCTATAACAAACTCATACATATGCATGTATATATTTTTTGAATACGCATAAATATTACTACTAGCTCACCTTATCTGTTTTCAATCGAATGATATTGAAGCGTTGCCATTGTACAGAATATAATAGAACTTTCATTTCACACTTCGCGGTATTCATGGCACATTTTCTTTTTGTTTTAGCATATGATCTGGATTGACCACAAGTGTGGGAATTGCGATCGCCTTTTTCGATTTTTGCATTGATAAAGATGAAAAGAAATGGCAAAATAAGTGAAATAAATTAACAGATTCCCGCAGTATACTCTTAACCGTTTCCTTCTCATAAAAGCCGTATTTTTCAATAATTTATATAAATAACTGCATCAAAGCCATCCTTTAGATAACGTTAAATTTTTAACATTGAATTTAGRTTAAAATACTAAAGTAATTTTTTATCTCGATCCCACACTCCACCAAGAAAAAGTCCAATCCAAGGAGTAAATCCAGATTCTKATTTTCCACAATTTTGGATTTTAACATTAAAACTACTAAATTCTGAAAGAGCAAGTTAAATGGGTATCATTGGTGGAATTTGTTTGGTTTTTGTTGCAAAAAAGTAATGGTTTTGAGAGCATTATAAGTATCGACCATGAAGCAAGCATTTGCATGCCGCGGCCATCACTTACACCTTCCCCTCCCATAAGGGTTTGGGTTCTATTTGAACTTTTGGAGGTAAAATCTGGCGCTAACTAAGGAGATTGACAGAACATATGCTATTGAACAATATGTGTAATCTAGCTAATAAGAATTAAATTGTAACCATCTTCATAACTGATGAGCGCATATAGGAATATCGGTTAATCCAATCCATTTCAAGTATCTCAGGTAAGCTAAGTATCTCAGGTACATTCTTATTCCTATACGTTCATCCATTCCATCTCTACTATCATCCAATCCATTTCATGTACATTCGTATTCCTATAAGTTCATCCAATCCATCTCTACTATGTTCATCCAATCCATTTCATGTACATTCGTATTCCTATACGTTCATCCAATCCATCTCTACTA